ACTAAATCGCATACCTTGGATAAACACACAGCAAACATTCAAATGCACAGAAAGACATAGCCTACAGCCTAGGCTGATGCTGGTAAGGTTATGTCACTACTCTTGTTTACAACTTAGGAATTGCATTTAACTGCCAGCCCCTGAAAAACGAGGAACAAAATAACGGAAAACATAGATTATCTAGGTTATCGTGGCATATACAATTTTGATACTGACTAAAATACGTACACGTTTAGTGCACGAAACCATAACCTCGGTTCGGCGCAGGTGAAAGTTTCGCAAATGCGGCTTATTGGTGGGATGAAACCAAAACACATTCGAACAATTAAAACACAGAAATCAATGTACCCTACTTTATCAGCTGACTTACGCGAATCCTAATAGGTAATAATAAAATAAATATAAACGTAATGCTCTTGCTCTTGCTGCTAGGCTTGGCTAGCAGTCGACGTTAGCCCAGCCCCAGCCGGGCAGCAGCGCCCAGCTGTTCATCACAAGCACGCAAGCTGCGGTAGGAAGTCTTCTCATTTTTACAACAGTCGTACGTAGAGTAGTGAGGGTAGACTAAGTTGTGAGTTTTACCTTTTTGATTTATTTCCAGGCTTGAAACGCGTGAAGGCACGAAGAAATATCATTGAGAAACTGCACTTCGTCCCTTCGCCCCTTGGAGTCCTGAGATTTGAAGTTTTGCTTGACTTTATGAGCCCTGACAAGATAGTGTGATGCCAAAATTCTCGATCGACCATCATGTAAGATACTCTAACCTATAGACCCCAAGTCATCAACAATATTTTTAAAATTCTACTTTGAAGTTAAAATGTGTTATGAGTTCATTGGTTGTGCTTATTACAGATAATGTACATATTAACCTTACTTTTCTGCAATTAAATGACATTCCCCACTATCTAACATTCCAAACTGGTTGTGACAGCTCGTAACCAATCCCAGGTTGAGTAGTAGGTCAGTTTTGTTTAACAATCAGATTATCATAAAAATTAATTAAAAATGGAAATACATACATTTATTTACATTTATCAGGTACAATAAAAAGAGACACTTAATAGGCAGAAACTTCAATAACCGAAGTCACTCCATTTCGGACTCTTCACTTTCTGCACTCTCCTCAACAGTCTGCAACAGACAAAACACTTACTGAAGTTCTGACTGAGCCGTCAGCTGTTGTCATCCAAACAACTTCTACCGTCCGGTCCGGGTCCATTGAGAGGGTGTCCTCCGGCATGCCTGGGATGTACGATGGATGATCAGCCCCAGCACCTACGTTTCACCGAGGCAAGCGCCCGACGGCTACCCGGCCGCACGTCACGAGCGACGACCTGCCCTCTCCACCTGCGTCACCGTTTCTCTGAAAACCTTACCTCACTTTTTAAGAGCTGCGGGCTGCACGAGTGCTCGACTGCAGACGACAGCAAACGAATAACAAAGGTTTGAGGGAGAGATGGGGAGGGGGGGGGGGCGACAGCCGATTGTCAAAAAGATGTGACTGCTTTTACTGCGATTAAATAAAGGTCAGTGTTGTTTAATCAGAAACATGGCGATTAGACGAATAAGCAAATGAACAAGATAATTCGGTTTTAGTGCTATTTTCAAGAGTGAAGGGCTAGAAGTTACGTCCATAGTTGACACTTGTGTTTAACGAAACAATGTAAGCAATGACTTTTAGTAGGCCTATTCTTAAAAGTATAATAGAAGTATAAGAAAACTTCCGCAAATAGCCTGAAAAAGTCAAGGTGTCCCAAAGAGTACTAGTTTTCACATACTTTTAGTGAACTTATGTTAACTTTATGTTTACATTTATGTACTTCATACTAGCTATATGTACGCCAGATCACGTCTCGCGTCTCGCGTAACAGGCTTCGCGATATCTCACGAAACACTGTTACGCTGCGACACGCCTGGCGCACATATAGCTAGGCCTGCGGCGCTGACACCCGAGACGAGTTAAGGAGAGGGTATAGGGGAACAGGGCCTTCCGGGCCCAAAATTTGACATACCCGAACCATTTGTCGGGGCCTTATTACTCTAAAATTAGGAACATGAAACTTCTGCTGTTCGGTAACGGTTTTCATTAAAAGTTCGAATTTTGACAGAGTGTTAAGTAAAAATCTACGTTTTAGAGATACTAGATAATCTAGGGACCCTTAAGCCCAAAAGAGGGTGTGGTTCGACCTGTAGTTTAGGTGTTACTTCCTTTACAATTCTGTGACATGAAGCCATTTTTACGATTTAATAGGGTAGGTGATACAGTTATGGGACGGTTAAGCACGCACTTTCGTTTGACGCAGCGCTGTGCGTCTCTCGATTGAAGATGAGACGTACGTATTGGGCTCATGGGCTAGCTGAAGGTTCGAACTAAACTTTACCACTCTAGGTGGCCTAAGAATTCAACGCCTTACGCCCTTTCGGTCGGTTCAAAGTCAGAGGTCGAGAAACACAGTTATTGGACGGATGACGGCTGGAGATAGTTATTGGACGGCATGTCCCAGTTATTGGACACTTGCAATTTTTCCATCTAAATGGCCTAAAACGTTGGGTTTACGGCATTTTTTCGGGGTTTTCGTCACGAGTGTTTATGCACTCGCACCCCCACCAACCCCATCAGGGGCGTATTAAAGGGGGGGGCGGACAGGGGGGGCGGTGCATCGAAAGTTGCCTACACACAGGGGGTTTGTAGGTCAAATTGCCTACCTTTAGG